TGCCCCGCCCCGGAAGCGGGCGCGGCCTTGCCATGGCGACGCGCCAGGCGGCCGCCATTACAGCCCTGCCGCAAAGCTGGGAGGCGGAGGGGGCGTCGTTTCGTAATAAACTTTAGTAACTTTTACACGCGGAAAAGCAGAGCCGAGGCTGCTGCCGGAAGCCAGAGTAAAGCACACACAGACCGACTACAGTTCTCTGTACAAAAAAAGTCTATTTTGGTAAAAAAAAAAAAAAAATCTTCACTTCTATAGCTAGCTAAAAATCCCTTTTTTCGGCTCTGCTTTGGATTTCTTCATGGGGTTTTCAGGTGGAACTGTTGCCACTGAAGTTCCAAACCATTCTGGCACCTTCCTCTTAGAAGGGGGATGCGAGCTCTGAAGAAGAAAAGCAACAACATGAAAGAAGGCAAGTAGAGAGAAGGCAAGTATTTACAGACTAATTTCCCCAAAAATTACTCTGCTCCTCCCAGTCCTGCTCCCCATACTACTGAGCCTATCTCTTGCACTGTGGTGGGAAAAGGTACTATGGCAAAACAAAGCCAGGAGTTGCTGCTAGGAGATAAGTGGGTTTTCTACTCATCACCCTTCAATTATTCTTCAGTACTGGAAGACCAATCTCAACAGATGGAGACTGCTGGTGAGTAACTCTTGAGAAACACATCAGGAGGACCAACCTACAGCTAGAAGCGAGGTCTCTCCACTGCTTGCATTGAGGCATGCATACAGAACTCCCAGCCCAAGCCTGAGTGCAGGAGGAGGGATTCAGAAACCATGACATTGATCTTGCTTTGGTCCTGTGTCAAAATAAAGGGGCTTTGCTTGGCACTGATGTTCCAAGTTCTCAGTCACCAGCAACCCAAAAGATTATGTCATAATGTGTTTAAGTGTTCCAAATCAGTTAGCTACTGTGTTGTTTAGAAGTGTAACACCTACCCAACACCAACTAGACCATGGATAATGGTTTGTCTGCATCATGACTGGCACTCGCCTCAATGTCTAGCTTCAAAGTGAAGAGAGCTGTACAGCACAGTGGTGGTCAGAGCCACACGAGCTCCCTTGAGAAAAATCCCCCTGTGCATTTGCTCATACAACTTGTGCTTATATTAACAAGAGTGCACAAAATTAGTGGGATCAGAGCACAACCTCACACAACCCTGTAGCTTGAGGTGGAAGTGCTGGAAGCATCTGCCACTAGATGGCTGACAAGATGTACTGGGGAAAAAAATTCCTGTAGCAGGCTGGTGCTGTGAGAGAGGTGGTTTTGAGCATAGCAAGAATAAAAGCAGTGTGACATCACTACATCAAGGCTATTAATTAACAAGAGAAGTTGGCTGGCAAGCCAGGTTTTCAGCAGGGCAGAGAACCCAGACTGAAGGTGAAATTTGGGGTTGTTCAAGATCAACACCCAAAGGTGTGGAAGTAATGAGTCTGTAATTATAAACAGAGTTCCAACATTGCTGCTTAATGAGGTCACAAGCTATTTCATCACAAAATCTGAGCATGTGAAGCACACCTGCATCAAACACAAGGGAACTGGAACTTGTATTTGGCATATTTTTTGCAGTGGAGAAAATGCTTCCTCTATGCCTCCAGCTCTGAGAACTTGGAATAAAAGCTTCTTACTCAAGTGCTCTGTTTTCAAATATCTTTCAGTTAAGATGTCAGCTCAAAACAGCACAGGAGTATTAACTTGTGATTTTTATCTAATGCTGCTGGTCAGAGGTTGTGACAACCAAGCTGAGATTTTTGGATCAACTCTGTATCTCCACGTTACCAAAAATACCAGAGGCTTTGTTGCAGTAAGAAATATCCATTTACCAAAGCTGAAGGCACCACTGGCAGGCAGGTTTTCTCTGCTCTTTCCTTCAATGCTGGATTGATTAAATCAGCCTGTAAAAGCAGCAGTCATGTAAAGCTGTTAAAATCCAAGAATGTTCATTAACAGATTGAAATGCTGTTTGCTACAGGGAATTATTACAATCAGGATATCTTCTGAAGGAGGAGAAGTAAATGAAGACTATTTGGATTAGCTGTCTACTCATTTGTGCAATATTAATTTGATTTCTAATAGCATGTCATTCCTGTTATTAGCTCCAGCAGCTAACAGCAGCAGCAAGAACTGTAATTAGAGATCATGCAACTGGACTGCCAGGAGGTCAACTGCAGGAAAAAGGAAGCTCAGACAGATATTGTAGAAACCAACAGCACTCAGAGATGCAAGAAACAAACCCATTTGGCAGAACAGCAAAGCTTGAAAAACTGGTCTGAACCAGAGAGAAAGAAAACAACCCCCAACCCTGCAAGGAACAGACAAAATCCTGGTGCAGGCAACAGAATGACTGAGAGGTTTATTTGACTTTCTTTGTACCATTCCCACCAGTAGCCACTCAGTGCAGGGTGACCTTTTGGACACAGTGCTGACCTGAGAGACATGGAAAAGCCAGCCAAGGGCTCAGACTAGCCTGCCCTCTCCAACTGCAACAAAGATCTCCTCATTTCCCAAGATCTCCCCCCCCCTTCAGTGAGTCAGACTTACAGCATAACACTTTTCTTACCACAGCTACACCCAGCAGCTCCAAGCAACAGAGGAACCCAAGAAAGACTGAGACATTTCTGGCAGGCAGTGCCTCTGACTTTTCATGTTCTCAGCTTTTCTGCTCTCCTATAGCTTTCTGCACAATAAGGGAATCACTTTTCTTACATCAGGTTGGCAATCAGGTCCCAATGCAAAGGCAGAACATAGACTTCGTGGCTACAAAGGCTCCAGCTTACCAAAGGTTTTTGTACTGAGAACTTGAAATTCCAGCTTTTTCTACCACTTCCCCAACTACTCTTAGTCTGGGATTTTACAGGGGACCTTTTGCATCCACATCCTGAAGGACTGGAGAAAAGCAGCAAGCATTCATCCCTTGTCTCCAAGGCCAGAATTAAGCTGCAGTTATGATGGTCTACAGTGATGGACCATCATGTGCCTGATCTTCCTGGGCTGCATATCCAGGACTTACTAGGGTAGAGTTCACCTTATACCTTCTTTTACTAACCTTTGGTTTACTCCACAATGCATCTTTCCTGCTTGTTGGATCTGCTTCTGTTTTTTCTGGCTGCCCATCTGACCACACCAGCATCCTTTTGACGCTTGAGCCATCCTGAGACTTATTTCTATCCTTTTTCTCCAATAATGCAATAGTCATCTTGATGAGATACAGTTCAATAGTTGCAGGAACAAGTTTTCTAATAGCTTGAATTTTGGAGGTGTCTTGGAAAAAAAAAAATACAATATTGTTTTTTTCATCCTCTTGTCCCTTCTTCAGTTTTCTTTTGTAGAACACCAAGTTTTAGAACACAAGATGTTCCTCATTAAAGCACAGGACAGATAAAGGCATGGAAAGGAACCAAAATTAAACAATGTATGAGTTGGACTCATAAGAAAACAGACCACATGTTCATGGGATAACTCTACCTCACTGGTGCTCAAACTTACTGTCCTCAAACTTAGACTAAAACATCAGCATAGCCTGCCTGTAACTCACGTCCTATCCACAATTTTCTCTTATGGAAGGCTGTATTAGCTCAGGCTAAAAAACCTCTCTCTGCCTTCATAAATATAATGCCATGCCAGTTCTCCATTCCACTGTAGCACTACATTTCATCTGGGAGTCAGGTTGAGCCTCTAACTGGTTCTGAAAAGACCCAATAATCCACAACAGGACAGGAGGAGTGAAGCTGGCAAATCAGCAAACCTAAGAAATTAAACTACTCTAAGTACCTTGGTCTCAGAACCACAAGTCTGCAGACTGTTATCTTTAGCCTCTGAACTAGCCCATGGCACCAGATGACAGTGTTAAGAGAACTGCTTCTCCTGGACTTGGCCTCTTTGTCATTAACAAATATCTTGCAGAGAAATTGCAATGGGGAAACTCTGCAGCTCTTCTTCAGCATACTTTCTGGAGATGACAGCACTTGGAAGCAGACTTTGTCAGGCTGATGCAATGCTTGAGTAAACACAGATTTAAGACTGATGCCTGAATTTTTCCAAAAGCCATAGAAACAAGTGGAAGGATTTGTAGAGAGCAACCCTCTTTTGGTCTTTAATGAAACACTATTACTTTATTTTACAACATAACCTTGGAAGGAAAGCAACGACCCTGGCATTGCCATAGCCACAGGCCTTTGAGAAATTATGCATTCTACCTAAATAAGCAACCAAGCTGTCAAGTTTTTCATTCCCCTTCATCTGTATGCCAGTGTCATGAGACGCTTCATATAAAGGCTGTGATGCTCACCTGAGGCGATAGGAAAATTACAGATAACATCAGTGATACTCTGTTGAACTTCAGGAGTCAAACCTGCTCGCTCCAGGTTGACAGGGTAGCCAGCTTTCATTGCCTGGAGCAGGTGAGTGCCCACCTCAGAAACAGGCAGAGATCTGCTCTCACTTATAGTCCTCTAGAGAAACAAAGGCAAAAGGAACTGAGTTAGAACTGAAAGTTCAAAAGCAGGCAACCTCCCATTTCCAAAAAAGCAACCAAGGGATACTGGTACACAGCAGTGCAGAGCTCCCCAAAGTGCTTCGTTGCACCTAATACTGCTCTCATTTCTTTTCCAGCTTGTAAAAAGCATTTTCCTCTTGAGACTACTACTTCTTAGCTCAAGTGCAACATCTCAGCTTGAACTTAATTCAGATGAAGAGAGATTCTACACAGGCAGGGTGCTGTGTGACCACCTCAAAGGCTTGCTATAGCTCACATGCCTTGTCAGAGCACTCGCTACCACCCCCTTCCTCGCAACAGCAGGTGAGCCCCAGCAGTTTCTAGCACAAAGTAAAATTGCTCCCACCTCCCAGCTAAGTCAGAGTATCAAGCCAAGTCCTACTTCATGAGATTTCTGTGTCAAAGCTTCAGATGTCTCCTGCTACACTGCTGTGATGCACCTCACTTTCCCCAGTGGCCCACTTGATCCCTAACATCTGTGCAGAATGTTGATAACAGCACTAAAAAAAAAAAATTTCCCCTCATTTTTATATCTGTTAGATGAATTCTTCTTTTAAAACATTTCTCCTGGAAAAAAAGTATCTCAAGCTTTATCTCCCTACACTTGTAGCTTTTCAAGGAGAGATTTCTAACAGGTTACTTGCCTTCCCCAAAAGACCAGGTTCCAGGCTTCTGGTTTCCCCCCAGACAATACACATACAGTGCTTATAACCACCAGGATTAGTAGATATAGAGCATCAAGTTACCGACTAATAATGATACAACTGTATCTTGTTTATTAGTCCTTAGGTACACTTAACTGACAATGTTTGCCCATACCCTTGGGAGGGGCACACCAAACCTCAAAACAACTTCAGTTTCCTATTGTAGAATTAAAAAGCAATAAATAAAACTCTTATCAAAAGAGCTCATAAGGCTCATCTTCATACGACACATGCCCTGTGGCACTTCAGCAACTTAAATGTTAAGAACAAAAGCTGAGGAGCTACAATTTGCCTCAGCATATTTTAAGCAAACTTCTGCCACCTGCACTGGGCTGAGGATTTAAGAGAACTTGCAAATTCCCCTCCTCTACACAAAGCATCCTCACCATTAGTTTTCCAAAAAGAAAGGGAACTCCACAGGGAAGACCTTACCACAGAGAGATTTTTCTCTTGGAACAAAACATATGTGACATGCTCTGAAGGAGAGAGGGCTCTTGTACACTTCCAGGGAGATGCCTCTTTCTGATCTTCAGATCCAGATGTGGGGAATGGGTCAGTCTGAGACAGAAAGGATTTACAAGAATTATAACCCAATGACATCCAAAGAATCACCCTCCCATTACCTGAAAGAGTGACACAAATGGAGTAATTCACCTCTACAGAAGCTGCTTTTGACCTCAAGTCCACGTTCCACAACAAAAAAAAAAAGCAAAGAAGGTATCCAGATGGGCACACACATACTCCCATCTGAATGAAAGCAGTGTGGGATTGCCCAAGAGATTGGGGAAAAAAAAAAAGGCAACCATAAAAGCAATGCCCATGTCAACATAACTTCTTGGGTATTTCTCACCACAAATAAAACTATTCGATCAGTACAAACCATGGTCTTCAGCCTGCTGCTTGGCACAGGAAACTCCTCCATCTGTTTTAAACTTTTCCTCAGATTTCTTGAGAGGGGGGGAGAGGGACGACACCACCACCAAAACCCAGGAATGCTTTTGGTCCCTGCTCCTAGATTTCCTAGACTATAATAGCTTTCCATAAAGCAGAAGACTCCAATCTTCTCAGCTATTTCAAAGCAGGATTGCTGGTCTACCTGCTTTCTAGATGAGATAAATCCCTTTAACTGTAGATTTACATAGAAATTAAGATCCCCAAAGCAAAACTGCTTCATAATTCCTCTAACCCTCTTTTTGCCATGGCCCCTCCCTAGTGGTGTCTCTCACCATTGTGACTGATGAGTGATTGTGACTTTGACTCTACAGAAAATCTCAGACAGAAGAAAATCAACTGTGAAGGAGTGTTTCCAACAGCTGGAAATCTAAGGTCTTCTGCCAGTCTCCTAAGGAGAACGTTAGAAGCAGCAAAGCCCTGTCCCCCAAGGCTACGCAGTTGATAAACCATGGTGAAGGAACACCCATCATGCCTTTGGCCTCCAGCCTCAAATCACAATAACTAGCAGCAAGCTCTCAGTAACATACCACCTACTGAACACTCAACTGGGACACATAGGTGACCTTTATACAGATGTCCCAGACTTTCAAGATGACTACACCAATCTGGAACATCAGCCAGGTCTCAGTGTTATCACCAAGGAGCACAATCAGGTTTGGGAGGCCTACTTGTATGCAAGGCTAGCAAGTTTTGCCACCATGGTTGGATGGAATAGCTGTAATGAGGACAAACTCTCAAGGAGAAATCTGACATCTGTAGACCAAATTATGACTTTAAAGGCTCTTGCAAAGTAGCAGACACCTTAATAAGTCATACCTGCAAACCATTTGCTTGGCAGAAGTCCTTAATTTCAGCCAGGAGAGGGACCAACATAGTGGATTTTGCTTCAGATACACCATCAATTTTCTTCACATTCTCAACAGTTGTAGGCCTGGTTTAGGATGAATAATAAAAGCCATGGAAATATCCTGTGTCAGTGCTCTGAAACATCAAGTGTCTGTGAAGGACACATGCTTGGACTACAGATCTACTAGTCAAAACTTCATGTTGTTACTGTACCCTCATCATCTCTGCAGCTAATTAAGTTCACTGTGCTTCTGAATTATGAAGCTTCACCTTCAGGTTTGCTGCTTAATACTTTGTAGGTCCAGTTTACCATGTATATCTTTGCTTTTACCTCCCAAGAGTATGTAAGCCCAGAGCTCTTCCATGGAATAACAATATACACATTCCAAAAATAGCAGTGTCTAATGCCTTACAGCAGCTCGGGAAGGCACTTCAGATGCATTACCAGCTGAGCTGCCCCACAATACCCTCTCATACAGTGAGGAAAAGAAAAATGAAAAGTTCTTTTCCCCTCCTATGAGTGGCTGAGAGCAACACTAAGTTGTACTTATTCCTTTATGCTACACAGCTAGCTATGCAAGGTAAGGGACAGCTGACATATAGCTGACCCTTAGCGTGATAAAGGAATACTAAAATAAGGAAAACACATCAGAGAGAAGCAGATGGAAAGATAAGGATCAGTGGAGAATACACACCTTGCCCCTCAGACTGGTCAACCTAACAGGAGGTTTGGATACAAAGACAGGCAAAGTTGTTATAAAAAAAATCCCAACCAAGTGACAATAACTAGAATGACGAAGCAAGTGTGATGTCAATAACAGTTTAACTTAAACCAGACAGTGATCTACAAGGTTATTCAAGCAAACAAAGATTCTCTGGAAAAGATCTGCACCTCTACCAGTGAGAGACACTCTCCCAGCAAAAGCAGAAAGGGCATTTGACTTGGCTCCCATCCTTCTCAGTTTGTACAACACATATGCATGCTGGCTTTACCTTATTCGGGACATCTCCAACAGGATCTTATTGGTTGCCAAGACAGCTGGAGGAATTGCCTTCTCATTAGCCACCTTCTGTCTAGCAGTCAGCAACTTGCCATACAGAGCAGTCTGAAGAAGAGAGCCAAATTCTCATGAAGCAGCTCTACATCACTCATGTAGGTATAGTTAATATGAGAGGTACAGTTGTAACTTCCCTAAATTTTCCAGTACATACAGAAAACCTGCAATCCATTAATCCACCTTGACATATTTAAATCCTCTTCTAGGACTTCTATTCAGAACACCTTTGAAACATTAGGCATTGCCCAAGCCCACCACTTCAACACAGCACTGTACTCTGCAGGTTGACTGCAATTCACAGATATTCTCCCTCTTCCAAAACAAACACACATGCCCAAAACAAACAAAAAAAATTTACCTCTAATTCTTTTTCTTGGGATGAAACATCAGGTTCTGGGGGCTTCAGAGGAGAAGGTTTCACTGGTGAGCGCCCTGCAACACTAACATCAAAAAAAAGAAGTGTTAAACAAGCCCTGCATTAGATAAACTTACTCAGAAACTTTGCACAAGGCTGTGGGAGTGCAGCAGCCCAACTTATTTTGCCTGCTGACAGCACCGTCAGACTGTGCTTTGGTACCTCGTGCTAGTGCTGCACTCACACAGGACTTGAGCTGGTTGGGGCAGAATCAGCAGCATCCCTAATATAACAGAATGATCTTTTGCCTGTCTGATCTTTTAACTTAAAAATAGCTTGTTACTGTACAAAGCTCAAGCAGATTAAATTGCAGCTTTGAGGGAAAATGGGAACAGTAATCCTGGCTACAAAGAGCTAAAAAATCCCAGCGCATCAGTGACAAGGACACAGCTGCTGTGAGCAGAATTAGCTGATGTTACCACTAGGCATGACTGCCTATAGAGCAGCACCACAGCTACCAGTCCATGGCCTCATTTATTTTGGGATATTTACCCCAATCAGACTTCTATGATTACACTGTTAGCAAACAAGCTGGAGTAAGTGGGTCCTTTCCTAAGCAGAGCATGAAGTAACAGTTGTTTTTGATTGTAGCTGCCACTAAAATTATTTTTCTTCAGGTGGCTGCAGTGCTAATTATTCAACTTAAGTGACATATCCTATTTCTCTGTCTTCTGCTAGCACCAGGCTGCTCACCTGAAGGAGGAACTAAACTGCTCAGAAACTCAAGGTTTCTGAATCTAAAGCACCAGACAAACCAGGGAAACAAATTGCCCCTGCACAAGGCTTACGTTCAGTTCTGCCAGCTTTAGGAGAGAGTCACAACTTGGTCACTTGTTTGCCTGAATTATATTGGCAAACTGTTGGAAAAAATTGTTCTCCATCTCTTTTAAATCATCACAAATTTCAATCCCTAACAGTTTTCAACCATCACATCAATTACAAACTAAAAAACCATAGGCCCAGTAGAAGCATTCAATATATATCTGTTATTGCTCAATTTTTATCAACATATGCTATTTTTCTTGCTTGTATTTCAAGTAATACCAGTGAGAAAGTTCATACTTCATTAATCAGTAAAGCTTGCTTTGCCTGCGACACCACAACTTGTCAAATTCAGCAAAGCCTGTTAAATGTTATAATAGTTCAATGTTTTGAACATATCATACAGCAAATTTTGAGTACTTGTCTTTTTTTAATATATTGAACATTTTTTTCCATCACTTCACACCAGGGAATGCTGGTTTTAAGGATCATCCTACAAACAGTATCCCTATTAACACAGTCAAAACTAAATAATTCTGTTTTAATTTAGAATACTGTACCTGCTAAGCATGTTATTGCTTCTTGGAGGAGTTTTACCTTTTCTCTCATATGAAAACATATCATACAGAGACATCTATAAAAAAAAAAAAAATAGGAGAGCAAGACAAACAAATACTGATTCACCAGTCTTTCCACTGAAGTTGCCATTAGCAGCAAAATATTAATTTATGACACCATGATAGACTTGCAAGATATTTTTTTTTTTTTTTAGTGTGAGCAAGGATGGACCACAGAGAGCATAAGGGGTTGTCCTTCTACAGACCTGTTTGACCGGTGACTGTGTTGTTCCTTTACTGTCTGGTGAGCGCTGCGTGGAGAGCACAGGTGCAGGTCTGCTGCTGTAATAAAGTAAATTATCTATCTTAATAAATGAGACCAAATCATTTGTACAGTGACACTGCCATTTTGGAAAACAAATCCAGCATTTTGCTAAGCAAATAAATTAGAGCTTGGTACAGTGATATCTTTGGCACATAAAAAGCTCTTACTGATTTTTACTTATTAGAATCACCTTTCTTTATGAAAAAACACTGAGAAGCTCAAAGCTTGTTAATGAAAAAAAACTTTAAAAAGGAACAAGATTCTAATCTTATGAAAGGAACACAGACTTTTGGTGACTAAAATGGAACTGTGACAAAACTTGAAAAAAGATTCAACTTTAAAGATCCTATTACTGGAGAAAACCAACTCTTCAGTTTGCACTAAGCACACAGTTTTTGCTGTTGCTTACTGTTTAACAACAAGTATTTTTTTTCCTTCTAGGGTATCTGTAAACTGTACCTGAGACAACAGTAGAATACTAGAAGGCAAAACAAAATCTGTACTTTGATTACCCAACTTACTCATTTTTTAGCAACACTAGGACAATCTAGACACCAGAACTGGCTCTTAAGGCCAGCACTCAAAAGCTTTGTTCTAACGTTTCCTGGACAGCAAAGCCTCTGCAACCACCAGTTCATTCTCTTTTAGTTCAAAAGGTTTGGTCAGAATGAGTGTTTGTGAAGACCAACACAATGCCATTTATTAAAGATAAGCAAACCTTCACATGCTATTTTCTTGGAGATATATACTCCAATAGCAAATACCTGACCATCACTGAAAAACACCCCACTTTTGCAGCCATACTCACCAAGAATTTAAATAGGTAAAATTTCAGAAAAAGAAACAAAGATCAACTATTACACATTTGTGTTGAATCAATTCTTGTTAGAATAAAGGCTTTTCTGTTTCTTTCTCAGCTTAAACTTTATGAAAAAGTAGGTCAAGTGCATAACTGGGAAAAAAAAGTTGTTAGCTGCTCTGTTTGACGTCTCCCAGTTTAATGCATTAGCATTAGAAAGAACATATATCTTGATGGATTTGCCTCTGTTTCATGTCTTTAGATTATTATTTTCTCCATGCGGATGCTGCTGCCAGGCTACACCAAATCACTGATGAAGACACTTGACCAGTTTTGGTAGTTTCTCCACACAATGTTTCCCCGCTAATGTCCCCAGTTACACGACCACCCGATTACCCCCACTGAAGACCTCAGTGATGAGGCACTGGCAGATTTAAGCTGGAGCCATGCACTCATGGAGGGCTAGACAATGTGTCACCTTTCACATCACCAGTCAGAAGTGTCTACCCAGACACTCCCACTGACTTCATTTTGGTATTACGATACTGCTTAAGGGAAAAATCAAGTGATCTATGTCCAGCCTGGCTATCTCCAGAAATTGATCCAATATTAATCAAAATAGCACTCAGGAGAACACATGTACTACAGTTACCTTCTAGGAGGTTGCTGCACATTAAGGTCTTCACTGGACTGTAACAGAAGGCTTGGATTTGAGGCAGACGCAGCTTTTAGCCAATTTCTGCCCTGTAAGAAATAAACCGTGTGCCTTAGCTACAGGTTACTCAAGAGAAGCTTTTGATGGGTAGTTCCACGCCAAAAAGTACCTTCTGGGTAAGCGCACATGTGGTTGCAAATTTGTTATACCCCGACACTTCTCTGAGGAATCCTTCCAGTATCAACTGTTGGCAGAGAGATTTCCACCAGTTCTCCGGCAAGTCTTTTCCACTACCAAAGAGAGGGTGTCTTCGGTATTTGTTTGGCAAGCGTTGGGAATTCTGAAATTATGGGAAGAATTGGTCAGATTTCTCCAGTCCTTGTTGAAGAAAGTTTCCAATATAACCAGTAAACCAAAAATTTGTTGCGAGTAGCATGTTCCTCAACAAGGTTTCTCCACAGGAAAGCTTTACAGAAAACACACTAGCCAAAACATTATATTTTAAAATGACAAAAGCCACACCTACAACAACTCAATGATGAGAGCATAAACGAAGCCTACTGCCTCAATTAATGTTGCCTGAAGAGCAGCTTCACTTATAACAAGATCACAACTTTATTTTGCAGTCAGACCTGACACGAACTTGTACTTAAAGTCACAGGACTGTTACAACATCTCCCTTCCTATGTGGGGGAGGTTACGTTAATAATCCAGTCATCCACAGCAGTGGAGAGAGTCACATAGTGCCATCTCTACTCAACCAGTGCAGGTCAATCTTACATTGCATGAGTTCAGTGTCTTCAAAAGTAAAAATAAATTCTCAAGTCCCATTTAAGTTCCAGGACAAGCATACAAAGCCAGAAGCAAGCTCAGATGTCTGTTCTACCTTTGCTTCTCTGGCCTTCATTGCAAAGTGGTTTTCGTCTGGGTTTTATTTTGTTTTCAAAAGTGGCCTATTTACTAATCTCTTACCAATGGTTCAGACTAAAAAAAGCTGACTAGCTCCTGTCTGATGGTTCTCACCCCCCTGAACTCAGTGCCCAAATGGATGGCAATGGGCTAGAGCCCTTTTCAAAAGAAAAACTCTTGGCATGAGCCTGAAGTTGAGAACTTTACTGAAATAGGGAGGTAGCAAAGGATCAAGCATTAGTAGGTGAAAGCGTCAGAACAAGTGTCCCAGCACAAGGAGGACGTGGAGCTGTTGGAGTGTGTTCAGAGGAAAGCCACAAAAACGATCAGAGGGCTGGAGCAGCTCTGCGGTGAGGACAGGCTGAGGGAGTTGGGGTTGTTCAGCCTGGAGAAGAAAAGGCTCCAGGGGGACCATACAGCAACCTTCCAGTACCTGAAAGGGGCCTACAAGAAAGCAGGGGAGGGACTATTCACAAGGGTTTGTAGTGACAGGCCAAGGGGTAATGGCTTTAAGCTAGAGAAGGGGAGATTTAGGTTAGATGTTTGGAAAAAGTTCTTCAGTATGAGGGTGACAGACCACTGGAATAGGTTGCCCAGACAGGTGGTGGAGGCCCCATCCCTGGGGACATTCAAGATCAGGCTGGATGAAGCTCTGAGTAGCTTGATCTAGTTGGAGATGTCCCTGCTTATTGTGGAAGGGTTGGACTAGATAACCTTTGGAGGTCCCTTCCAGCCCAGACATTATATGATTCTATGAATGAAGTTCCAGTTTATTGCTAGAATATTAAGTCAATGGGAAGGCAGGCTTCAGACCATGTTACTTGTAGATTTGCTGAATCCCTCTTCACTGGGGAAACTCCATTATCAAACAAGTAATTTTTTTATATGATGTATGCATCTGTATGTACATACCTCAATCATATCCTCCAGAAAGTGTACGTATACACAGCTGTAATGCCGGTTAGATAAGGACATCTCATGAGGAGGAGTGGTGGGGAAAAAACACAGAGGGTGACATGAACAGTTCTCTTGGACAACAGGAGACAGTGGGGTGGTTTTCACAGGGTTGGCTAACAGGTGTTCTACATCCCTGTTAACTGTTCTAAGAGAACTCCTTTGCCCTAGGCCAACAGTGTGTCTATCCCCAAGAGTGCAGTCTACCTTATAATGGAAGACAGAATAATGTAGAAGGGAGGAAGAAATGAAAGAAACTCAGGACAGGCAGCAAACAGCATACAGTAGCCTGCTGAGCTCCATAATATCTTCAGGGATCACAGTAAGAAGAAATTTGGATAATTCTGCATTGTCAGGGTCCTATCCTGCACACACACCAAGATGAGAAGAAGGATGAAGGGCTTATTTCAGACCTTGAACAGCAGGGGATGGAAGCTGGAGCAGCCACCCACAGGCAAGAGGGACTCAGCTTACTGCCACAATGTCCTGATGGTGAACCCATCACCTACAAGCACCTACTTGAGAAGCAAGTCACCTACTCAATAGGCAAAAAGAAAGCACCATGACCACATTCTTATATTTTTCAGTTACCCCAGTTACATTAATTACTCCAACAGCTGCACATTTTCAGAGCATGGTTTTGTCTTAGAGAAGAAATTCAAGGCTGGAAATATAAAAGAAGATGCAAACGAGTAAACCTGCGTCTGTGTTTGGGCTGAGTACTGTCAACTAAGCTTAGCATAGGACAGATCAAGAGAAGCCAGAGAAGTAATTTCAACTTCACAAAAATTATTAAGTGCTAGAAGTACTACTAAAAGCCACTCACAATAGTCACTAAGACTACTGATAACAGTAAAATAATTGCTGAAATAGCTACAAATTCCCATGTCTGGTGATAAAAGGAGACCTTAGGAGATGCATATTCTTTTAGCAAGGTTTGTATTATATTTCTGTCAACACAGCTCTAATTCAGTTTCCCAGAGGACCTTGTCGGCTTTCATGGTCTGACTCAGCTTTCAAATATCAAGTGAAACATGGTCTCCCTTGTGATCTCCCCAAAGCCTGTTGGAGGCCACCTGGCCTTTGCAAAATATATCACGTAACTTCAGAAGAGCATAAGCACGCCATGAACTACACATAAGCTTTAAAACCAGCATAACTGTCAGCCTCAGACAGACACAGCATCTAAACACGGGGTGATATTTCATACATTTGCTCTAGATTATACACTGATACAATGAAACAACATTTTTTTAACTTTATGCTAGCTGAAAGAAGGGTGGCAGTAAAAGGTCGTTCTAAACTTGCAATGCAAATTTGGTACCATTTTCACTTTCCAGTAATGTTTAAATAATTATCAAGACTGCATTAAAATCTGTAACAGTGTTTTTCCCCAATCACATTTGTGTGACAATCAGCAGCTCAACTTTTTTATTAAAAGGAAAAAAGACATCATTCACTTGATTTTATCAAGTCCTACATGAGATTCCACGCCTCGACAATAAACATAAAATGTTTCTGTTCTTATTCTATTTTATTTCTGTGAGTTTCTTGCCAGTATTTAAAAAACATCATAAGATATGCAGAAATTATTTCTATTCATTCCAGTATCCTACTTCCCATCTCATGACCCCAAGTCAGGCAGCAGTACAAAGCTAGAATGCATGCTATCATTTGCTTTATTCAAACATAAACCCAACTGATTACCAAGCAAAGATGTGTTTATTACCCTGAAAGAGCAGCCTTTCCAGAATGAAGAATGGCAATCGTGCATCTTCATTCAAGAACACTTAAATGTCTCTACAAAAACATCCAACTGACTAAAGAAAACAAAAGCTCAGGCCTTACAGGAAGAGCTTTAGAATCTCTGCCAATACTTGGGCTGCAGTGTGTTTAACAGACAAATATGAATAATCAACTCAAAACAAGCCACAAAATGCAGGACAGCTCGACAAGAGGCAAATAGCAGATACTATTTCTATGCAAAACTCTTGGGCAATAGAAAGCTGAATGTAGCACTGTTAAGAAAAACAGAACTAAGATATCAAGAACATGAAGGCAGAAGCTGTTCCTTTGCTGTACATGCACAAAGTGAAATACAACATGCTTAGGAGGTGCACTCTTTTTATGGCTGTTGTCTTTCAAGACAACCATCTAGTTTGCTCTATGGCAAGCAAGCATCTCAAAGTCCTTCCTGAAGTGAGGGGCCCAAAACTGCACCCTGTATTTGAGGTCCAGCCTCACCAGTGCCAAGTACATGGGGACAAACCCTGCCCTAGTCCTGCTGGCTACACTACTTCTAATCAAGCCAGGATGCTGTTGGTCTTCTTGGCCACATGGGCACACGGCTGGCGCATACATCAAAGTGTAGACATGTATACCAATGTCTTGTTTGGGGCATCAATAATGAGGGTCACTAACAGTCTCTCCACTCAGAACACACACAAAGATTCTTGCCTATCACTTACAGACCCTCGCAGGAACAGAATGGGAATTCTAGTTCCAAACTTCTCTTCCAGGGCACTGATTGCAGACAGCAATTGATACGCTTGCTTCCCGAAGTCCTGCAAACCACCATCTGAATCACTTGGGACTACACAAGAGGCTCTGAAATGCACAAAGAAAACCAAGTTTAATACACAAGTCTTCTACCCTCTCTTCAAATATTGTCTATCAAGAGATAATAAAATACACACTTCAAGTTACATTAATATAAATAAACATGCTTAAGCATAACAAATCAAGACTGAAAACATGGGACCAACCCAAAGTCAAAATCACTTGTAATTAAGGGAGCTGCCCAACACAGTTCTGCATGGTATTCACTGTGGCAGGACAATGCTGTCTCAGCAATCTTCTGAATTTAGCATTTGAGTATTTGGAACTGTTTTAGGCATACAAGACATGTCTTACATTGCACCTAGTAGTAAAGAGGTTTTTGTCCTTTTTTTCAAACACAGACTGAAAAAAACAGAAGGAAAGAACAATCCCATTAATGATTTTCTAGGGTTTGCTAATGCATTTATTAGTGACTGGAAAAACCCATCAAAAAATTATTTGTTACAAATCACTTCTAAGGAAGAGGAAAAAAAGGCAATGATCTATTTCAAGTGAGTTCTGTTTCGCACCATAAATTCACTACATGGCCTTTACTGACACAGCAACATGACTGCAAAGATAGAAATTACATTGTCTCAAATACTCCTCTTGGTTTTTTTTAGCAGACGCCATGCAGAGATTTCTTAATCCTTGAGCATACAGGCAACATAGCTGAATTGATGACGTTTCTCCAGAAAGCAACACAAAATAACATCTTGCCTCTGATCAGGAAGCATAAGGCAACCAGCAAGAACAGGGAATCCTTTATTATAACTTCAGGGAAAGCATGCATGTGCACACAGGAGAAACAGGAAGGTGTTTCTGCTCCCACCTGTGGGACCACCGGCCCCCTGGCTTCCCTTTACCACATCTATGACACTATTAGTGATGCAAGAAGGAGCATGTGTCATATGCTGTAACACAAGAACAGCTCCCTTCACACTCTGGCAATTTAACCTTAGACACATGGTATCACACTCCCACTTGTGAGCCTATTCTTTTGGGATTAATTACCTAACAGGACTTACAATGATGAGCAAAAGCGTATTTCACAGTCTCAGACTGTTGTTTTAAATCCTTTCAGGAATCCCGACCATACTTTGTTCACAGGCTTTCCCACAGCCTAACCTAGCTTCTAAACCGCCTCATGGCTTAGCTCGACTGCATAGGCAAAGGTCAGAGGCAGGTGTTCAAAGATAAACTTCAGGCTGAACATCTGCAAGATCAGATGGCTAAAAAAAGTCAATTCTTTTAGATAATTTGCCTTTTAAGTCAGCCTGAGAGAACATAACCTCTTGTATCAGTCTTCAGGGAAGAAAGCTTACCTGGACCTGCAATTATCACAGCATTCTTCTGTGCCCATGATGCCAGAGGAAACCTTCCGGAGTTGTTTGTCTTCAAAATGAGACAGGATGATTCTACCCAAGGGAATGTAGGGAATTAAATAAAAGACCAAGAATTTACACATTAAATTTATTGCAGAAAACAGACTTGAAATCAGCATCAATTAATTAATTCACTGGAGAGGCAATTATTTGGCCTTAATTCCCCCAAAAGAAAAAGTGAAGGGTTTTTTTGAAAAGTAAATAAGGAAACATTTGATTTATATGCACAAATATGCTGAAGGCTATATTTTGTTGATGCTGCTTTTTAAGATAAAACATGTTTGCAGAACACTTTGTGAGCATAAGATGCCTTCTGGTTGCCACCTTCAAGTTGTGACCGAGACCCAAAGGCTCTTATCAAAGCTGACTGGAATGACAAAGCATTAAACAGAATGCAGTACTCACTTCCTCCTGCAGTTTTGTGACACAAGGTACTTCTCTATTTTTGACAACATCTTCAGTTTGTACAACCGGAACTTCTCACTGCGTATCTCGCTTAGAAGGTGTCTGTCAGGTGAATGGAAAAACTGAACAGTCTTAAGTATTCCCCTGTCCCACACTAAAAATTGAGTATACCAGACAACTATCTCAGTCAAATTCACCAGAAACAGCTAGAAAGAACATCCTAGTGAAATAACAGACCAAAAGTGCCTGCCTGTTTCTCCACAGTCTCGATCCTTACAGCACTAGGCATACTCAGAAGAGCACCTTATTTACATTCTTCTAAATATGATGATTAATCTCAACAGGGCAAAAGGAGAGATAGAGATTCTTCCCCACAGGCTAACTAAGCTTCAAACATCCACACTGAAAGTCACAGGGGAGGGAAGAAAGGGTAGATAGTATTGACAGCAATTTCACTCTTGCTTTTCTAATTCTGGGAAGTTCTCAATGTTACTGCCAGATTAAAAAAATATGCTAGGACATCACCACTCTTCTTTCAAGAGCCTCAGAGGTGGCATGTTAGGACATATCTACCCTGTTGCCTAATTTAATATCCTCTAGAGTAATCACTGGAAGCATCCGACTGAGAAAACAGCACTGGAGCACTGGATGGGTGTATGGAACACCTGCTCTGCCCATGCTCTAAGCTGCTACATAAACCAAACCTGAGCTACCATCTGCACCACAGGGCATGGAAAACAAGCCAAAGCTGCTCGTGTCAGGCACCACATTAATGCAGCTATACCATTCAAGATCCAACTTGAGCAAGGCAAGTTTCTGCCTGCCCAAAAAAAAAAAAAAAAAAATAAACCAACAAACCAACTCAGTATATGGTTTCACAGACTCTGGCAGTCTGCTGAAAAGTTCAAATGACTGAGTTCAGCCACTTCTGTGGTCCTACACCATCTATGGACAAAGTTAACAAACTTTTACAACAAGGACTCTTCCCTCCCAGATGAAAAACATATGTATTTCTCCATTTAGATATCTCAAAAGTAGACAGAGAGAAAGAGTAATTCTACAGCATTAGCACCCTTAAGGGCTGGGAATAGATCTAAAGCCAGGTTAAATGGTCTAAAAACAGGTCAGGTGATTGTATTTGGTCTGGCTGAGCTGATTTTCCCACAGCAGCCCTCCTAGTGCAGTGCTTTTGTGCTGAGAGCTGGAAGGGTGTTGATAACACCCATGTTGTGACTACCACCGAGCAGGGCTCACACAGCACCAAGGCTCTTTCTAACATTCCCCCCTCATTGGGATGTGGGGGCAGGAGCTTGGGTTGGAATATAACCAGAACAGCTGACCCGAGCTGACCAAAGGGATATTCCATACCACATGACATCAGCTGAACTATAAAGCTAGTACAAAGGAGGGGTGGGGGGGGGGGCTACTCCTCAGTCCTCTGGAGCAACTGCTATGCATTTTGCAGCCCTGCTTCCCAGGAAAGGCCAGACATCATCTGCTGATGGGAAGTAGAGAATAAGTCTTTGTTTTTTGTTTTTGTTTTCCTCTTTGCTTCCACATGTGGCATTGCTTGGCTTTTGCCCTCTAATTAAACTGCCCTTGGTTTGTTGTGTTTTTTTGTTGTTGTTTGTTTGTTTTTTGTTTGTTTGTTTGTTTTTTATCCACAAGGCTTCTTTCTCTATCTTATTTTCCCTCCCCCTTTTGCTCAGTGGAGGAAGGAGAGGAAAGGGGAAGATGACAGAGTGGATTGGTGGGCATCACTTGCTCAGCCAGGATTAACCAACCACAGCAATTTACAAGAGAAGTGACCAGGTTTTATCACTGCCTGCCTTGCAAAGCATCTTCAGAAAGCAGAACTGAAACAAGGACAAACTCATTAACAACAGTGCACTTATGGATTATCTTCTAGAAAAACTATAGCCTACTTTCTGTTGTGTGTATGCAGGAGAAGACTGGGAACCATTCTGAAAAATAAATTACATTTTCAACCAAACCCACCCTGCTCCTCTTTCTTTTGGTTGTGTCACAGCAGTTGTCTTCAGTTATTTACCTGTTAAAAGTCAAGTCTGTTGCAGTCCACAAGACATGACAATAAGCAGAAAGCCCATCACGACCAGCTCTCCCAATCTCTTGGTAATAGGATTCCATCTCCTTAGGGGCACCGTAATGAATAACCATCCGGATATCTGCTTTGTTGATGCCCATTCCAAATGCCACTGTAGCTACAATACACTACAAAAGAGGAGCCACATGCTGAATGTTTTGACATGACCACCAAGAATATTAAGCTTGGACTAATGCTCACACACTTGGTGACAATTTTGCTACGGACTTAAAATTCAGCCTGAATTACAATGGCTTCAAACTCATGCTCGACTTGCACAGTACTGTTGCTAAGTCTTATTTTGGTCAGAGTACAAGCATAAGATTATAATCACGAGAGCGATGATGTGTTGTGGCAAATGCTAGAGTGTTTTCAAGCAGTTATCCTCAAAGACAAGGCACAAAACCTATTGTGAAGGGGAACACAAGTACTCCCAGGATAGCTCTTTGCCTGTTTGGCTACAGGAGGAAGAAGGTATCTCACAAAACTTGTGATGGTATTACTCCAGCTACCACTATTTTCCTCAGATGCTACACATTTTTAAGAGACTTAAAGGAATTTGAAACATCAACCAGGAATCCTATTACAGTCAGAATAAACCAGCAATTTCTTTGCCCAGAATTTGAAACAGTAAATGGGAAACACATGCTGATATTCCCCAAATTCTTTTCTCTACCAGAAACTCAGCAATTACAAGTGCGACCAAGTAGACTTATTTTCCTACATACCTGAATTTCATCCCTCATGAACTTTTGATGGGTCTCCCTCCTTTGTTTGATTCCCATACCAGCGTGGTATGCACCACAGGACACATTGAGTTTGCTCAATTCAGACACAACCTGTTCAGTGGCCTTTCTTGACGGGCAGTAGATGATAGTGGGGCCTTCAAATTCATACGTAGAACTGCTTTAAGTAATAGCAACATGTAAAGACACAGAACAGAAGAAGACACCCTTCTGCAAAAAGCCTACCTGAACCTAGCTGAAAAGGCAATGTAGCTTTCCCAGCAGTTCACCTGCCTGGGGCTTTAGAAACCAAAACAGATTTTAACTTGTCTACTCATACACAAATTGCCTGTCCTTTGGAAAAATGGGCCTGGAAGTTATTTGATGTTCTGAGTTTAATTTTCCAAGCACAGAACTCTGCAGAAGCAGCAGGATAAGGCCTCCCAATTTCCTTGAAGTCATCAGGAAATATGCTTTTACAGCTGTCACTTTAGAAAGGTTTACTTTTACATAACAAGGTACAAATGAGTGATGAGAAGTTAGTTTATAGTGCTGTAGGGGCACACATTGTACACTGTGACAAGAACAGGGCCACAACAGGTACACCACTGTATCTGCTAACACAGACAAAGGACTTATAAAAATAATCTTACTATACTTACTTATACTTAGTATAATCTTACTATAGACCTATAATGCACTCAAATTCTTGCACAATACTGTTTGGCAAGTTATCTACCAGCCAATCCATCATAATCATTCAAATTGCTGCAGTGTCAGCAGGTGCTCTGAGGATCAAAAGATCCTGAAGGTCCTGAAGTTACCAACATGCAAACAGGAGGAGTCCATTGCTTCTTGCCTCAAAATCCACAGCTGGGAGAAAGGGTGGGCACAACAACATGGCACATAACACAAGTGACTAGCATGGTATCAAAGCCAAACTATGGAGAAAGCTCAGGCTCCTCACCAAATCAGGGTAAAACTGCTACCATTCTCCTTAGTACACACTACTAAAACTCCAAAATGCTAAAGTATATCTGAGGGATCAATGAAAACAAGCTTAAATCTTTACCTTCCTTTCCTAGTAAGGAACTGCTTCAAATCTGTAAGGATATTTCCACTTCGTCGTCCAACTTCTAAGTACAGGTTAGGTCTGTCAAAACTGGTACACGTGACCTGGGGATTCCTCAGGGTCAGACAATTCACTATGTCTTCTCTAATGGATGGACTTGCAGTTGCAGTTAAAGCAACAATGGGAACCTGTAATGAGTAGAAGAAAGTCTCAGAGCTCTCATTGATATTTACTTAACAACAAAACATAATTCAAAACAAACAGCACGTAAACAAGCACTTTAATCTCTTTATGTTCATTGGATCAGCTCAGCTATTTGAAAACTATAATAATTATTTAGATTCCTAGAGCTTTGGTCTACACAGTCCAGAAGTAGGCAAGGACAAAACACTATTGAAATACAGCATTTTATTCTGAACCTGTGCTTTCTTTAGTTACGTCTTCAGAGAATCTACAGTATTGTTCTGATGTGGTTGGCTAAGTTTAGGGAACATAATACTTCCAACAGCAGCATGTAAAGTTCAGGTCTAAATTTCCAGGCTTACATGACAAAGTTTGCAGAGTAACTAGAAATCACAGTTTCTTGCTTTTGTATGCCACCCAGCCAGCCAGTTAAGTAAATCCCTTAGTATTCAACCAGAAACTTGGGGACATCATCTTCAGAACAAGTACTCAACAACATTTAGTTTTCAGAAGTTTCTTGTAGTCCAGGTCCAGAATATCCATTTAACCCACAAAGCTCAATCACTCACAGGGACTGCATTAGCTCCAAAACAGCATGGTAAGTACACATAAAGAGCAAAACCAAAGGATTGACACTTCAACCTAGCATACAAAATGAGGTAGTATGCTTTTCTTACACTGGAAATCAAACATATCAAAAGCTCACCAATGGCAGAGCCTTTTTTAACGAGCCTAAGCTTCTAAAGGAGCTTCTGAAATCATGGCCCCACTCAGAAATGCAATGAGCTTCATCAACAGCTATGAGGGTAATACCTGGTGGGCACAAAAGCACAGCATGGACACGTTAACAAGGCAAACCAGCATGAGAAGTGACAAAAAACCAAACATCCCATTCTGCTCTATTTCAAGCTTCCCTGAGGAGGCATCAACAGTCTGCTTAAATTTGTGTTTCTAGAATGCCTTCCACTGTTCTGACTCCCCGAAACCATTTATAAAATGTTCTCTTTAGTAAAAAAGCTTAAGAGCTTCTACAGACTCCCTCTACCACCATCTCTGCTTCCTTCTCAAGCTCTGAATCTCCATCTAAATGGATCAAATCTTGAGCTACCTCTGACATGACCTTTTCCCATCCCCTGCTTCCCAGACTTTCTTAGTAATAATGACAAATGCTGATTACAGATGTCATTTGTTTTACTTTCTGACTTCTAAGAGATATGCTGAGCAGCTCAATTCTGCACTGAAGAGATAAAGGAAAGGCAAGAAAAATGAGGGTAGAGGAGTTAAAGATACCCCTTGAAGACAACCTTACATTTTTTAATCAGAAAAACTCGAGTATCAATGACCCTTTCTAATCTGCATGTTCTCCTTGAGTATCAAGGCCCCTTTCTAATCTGCATGTTCAAAGCACCCTGGTGTCAGACGCCAAGCAGACAGCTTCTCTGGACTCCAGGAATTTAGATGGCTCATGTTCTCCCTAGGTAGCATTCCCTGCCTATAGCATTAGAAACTCAGTTTTTTAGTAAAAAAAAACACCCATACATTTGTTTAAATGCCTTGAATTTACCCTATGAGAGATACATCAGCTGTAGCATCTTTGAAGAGAAATGTTTAAGATGCTCTGTAATGTTTCAAAGCACAGTTTTAGTGTTACTTTCTTAGAACGTTACTTTTCTTTTCCATCATTTAAAAGTCAGTGATGTAGCACCTCTGATCCCAGTAACTTAACTAACATTCCCCTGCCAAGACCACACTAAAACCACTACTTGTATATCTTCTTTTCATCTCTGACAGGATCTTCTGGTACCACTTATTGGCAGTCACTACACTAGCCTCTGACCTGACTAGTGGTAAGAAACTGGTGGAAAATCTTCAAGTGTTAAAAAAGTTTCAATGAAATTCTGAATTCAAGCTGCCTGCCAACCCACCCACAACCTTATCCCCAGCTTACCAATTGTTTGGTGAAGATCCTGCAGTAACTCTAAGTTCCCTGAACAAAACTCTGGAGTCATATATATGACTCTGTATTGACCCCTGAAACATCAATGAAATACACCGTCACAGAAGGAAAAAAACCCAGACAACTCCAATTAAACAAAACCATGGCTGTCTAGGAGATGTCAGTGAGAATATGTACAGAATTCTGGAAAGGGAACAAGAGAAAGGAAGTGAAGAATGTAGAAAGTGTTCTAGAACAGTAGGAAAGCAAGGCAGTACACAGTGTTACAGGAAAAGGAAACCAGCAGTGAGACTTAGCCTTTATTTAGGACAAGCAGGGACAGCTGTGATGACTTGGTGACAAATACAGGTCTGAGACCTGTGTAAAATCCAGCATAAGCCACAACAAAGCTGAGTCAACAAGCCCCACCCCATCAGCAAGAAGGCACGAGAGGGTGGCTATAGCCTCCCACACACAAGCAGTATCACCGACTGCTGGTTTCCAGGTCTGGTCCAGAAAAAGGATTCAGCAATGATGGATTAGGAAGGCATCCTACCCCTCAATTACAACTATGTCAGAACCAGCAGTCCCAGAAAACTTAGCTACGACTTACGCTTTGATGCTTTCTTTGATGTTTTCAGGCTGAGCCAAACCAAGCAAGCAAGCTGGAATCCCTGACATCCTGCAGAAATATAAAGCACAGTCATAAACAGATTTAATCTCCACACTTTTTGCCTTAACTTTCAGATATTAGCTTGCTAAGCCAGTGCATTGCAATGGAAGTTCAAGCTGTGTGGTCAGAGACTACTTTCTTCTAAAGATCTTTGTGGGGGAAAACCTTTTGAAAAAGCAAGAACCATCACTGGCTATTCCTGCCACCCAAATGCTCTTCTGCTTCCCCACCAGCTGTTCTACACACCATGCATAATTAGAGCAACTATGAACTGAAGAAATAATGACCATTTTCCTGGCACACGAGCTAAGCTTATTGATAAAAAAACCAAAAGAAGAAAATAAGTCATTTTCTTTACTTATTATCTAATGCAGGTCACCACATCTGGACTAGCTTGCAATTTCTCACTTTTGTGAGCTCCTGGTGCTGCATCCACTAACTTTCAATCAGATGGCTGCTTTTTAATGACACATTCAATGATTATGCTTACCAGCTCAGTCACTTCCATATCTAACCTCTTTCAGAATCCTTGTCCTCTTAACTTGGTTATTTACTGCATTTTATCACAGCCCATTGTTTCAAGAGCTTCTCATCCCTCTGTGTTTCAATCCTTGGCAGAACTGCACCCAGACCAACAGACAAATTACTGAATTGCATTAGGCTGTGGAAATTAAGTCTCCTCAGGCTTCAAAATGAATGACCCACAGAGAAGGTAGTGAATAAACCCTTTCCACTGAAGAAAACAGCATGAAAGGCTAAGAAGCAGCTGAACACATATAGACACCCTGCTGATTAATACTCAGTCTAGGAACTATAGAGCCTGCTTAGGCTGTCCAGCCATTCATCTGCAGAGTCATGATGTGCAGCACATAATAGCACACATAATTGATGTTCCTAACTTCAAAAAACCTCCATATCCCCTCTTTCACAAAAGACCTGTTCTTTCCAAGTTGTACAGGGTAGGAATGAACTAGACAACTCAGCAGGATTCCCACAGCTGAAATGAAGAAGTGTCAGAAGTGAAGAGCTGTTATAACAGAAAGCAAGTACATGTAGAGGAAGCATTACAGGGTATTAAAATCAAGGAAATTTATCTTGACAACAGCTGTAACTGCTCATGTACGAGTGATTCAGTGTCACCCACTAGTTCCCCCCACCAGACCTTTCCAGAAGCAAAAAGGCCAGGTGTTAGGACACCTACTACAGTGTCTGTCTTAAAAGTCTGTGCTGTAACTTTGATCTGAACAGCCTACAGCCTCCATCTTTAAATTTTTCAGATGCTACTCAGATCCAAAGGAAGCCCTACCAAGTTTTGACACAACTCTCACAGGTTCAAACAGCCTGTGAAGCTCCTCCTTCAGTTCAGTTCGTGCAAAAAGGGCCTGAGAATTCAGAAATACTTGAGAAGGATCCACCTTCAAGAACCACCAACCCACAGAGATCCTTCTCAAATTCAGCCTACATTAGCAAATCCAGTGATCGTAAATTTATTTACACAGTTTGCCCGTGTTCCTCAAGAAACATATGCTTCCAGCTGACACACAAACAGCTTGCTGTACGAAGCTGCAACCTTAAACACCAAGAACTGCTACAGGCAGAATCCGTGGGTTTCCACAGGCAATACAGCAGCAGCTTGTTACTACCACATTACTTACGTCAGCTGCAGCACCTGGTCCTCCATCAAGGAGATAAGAGGACAGATAACAATTCCTGTACATCCAGTGTAAACAGGAGGAAACTGGTAGCACAAGCTTTTTCCATAGCCTTGAAGAAAAAAGGCAGAAATGAAACATCATGCTTTTTATGAAGCTGCGACATACAGATATAAGACAATTCTAACACCCTGCTGAGCCCTAAAAAAAGCAGTTTGTTCTGCCAGTGGAAGAACAAAGATGTGCGATAACTACAGTCAGCATCCATTCGATACACCTCTCTACACCAAGGTCAGAGACAAAGGCTAGGACAGCAAAGCAGGTAGCCAGCAGAGCTGGCTCAGACTTCCACAGTCTCAGTCAGGGCACTCTGCTCATATGAGCCACATGGACAGTCTCCAAGTTTGAGTCCTACTCTCCCCAAAAAGGAAAAGATTATTCAGTGCTTCTGAGGATGTAAAGGTAGCTTACCAGTCGCCATGACAACAAGATTATCTCTTCTGTCTTCTAAAACAGAATTGATCACTTTCCACTGGACCCTTGAATTTAAATGGAAAGGGGAATGTTTTATTTTTGCTATCACATCTAACATGTAAATTCTGTCAAACTGCACATTCAGTTGAATTTCAGGCTAAAGCAACCCTTCTGGCTACCTTGGACTCTTGTCTCTGCATTCTGTAACCACTCAAACACTCCAACTACTGCAGGTAGTCCCACCAATGTTACAGAGGGGATCTAACAGGACTAGAGCAAGCAACATTTGATGCTCTCACTCACAGAAGATGACAAAAACAACGGTCCTATACAGCATTGTAGTTAATACTCCACAAAGGTTATTTTGGCATCTTGTTATGGCAAAGGCTGCTTTTGTTTTCCCAGAGATTTTGCACAGGCCCTAGTTTGCCAGCGTTTTAAAGAAAGTAGTAATTAAAAAATCATATGAGTTGAAAGAAAGGTAAGAAAATTAACCCTAGAGTGTACATTTTAACAGAAGAGACACTTACGGTTTGAAGGAAGAATGCCCAAAATAAGTCTTCAGACACATGATGTGGCTTTCACTTGGTACTGGCAACAACGGATCTTTAGTGGGAAGAGGAGAAAAAATCCTCATCTGTGATTTAACTTCAAAACCAGAAAGCACTCTCTTGACAAACAACAGGTTGCTCATGGGTAGCAATGCCAAGGGCCTGGGATTTGGGCAACTACAGTGAAAGAGGCATCCAACTCTATAGATATTTTGATTCTTTATTCTAGCCTGTAAATCCCAAACAGGCTTCTCAGAGACCCTGCATGAGGAGAATATATGGCTTGATTAATGAGCTAATAAAGCAACAGGTGTTGTAACACATAGCTGTGTTATTTGCAACACGCTTAGACAAGGTACTGGAGGTGTTTGAAGGTAGGCATAGTAACTCAACTGAAGTTACACTAATCAACACCTGACATGACAAGTTGTGAAGTGATCCTGATTTTGCTGTGAACGCTGAAGAAATATTCAAGATCTCTGTTCAAATTTATGATTAACATTCAGCAGTACAAAGTATGACATTTCCACCTAGTGTGACTGTTGGGAAAGCAAACGTTCCCTATAACAGCCTGTCTGGCTAACGTTTAGAGAGATGAACTGAACAAAGAAACAATTAACTCATCCATCCCTATCTAGCAGCCCATGTCCTGGTTGGGAGAAGGAAGCAGCTCTTCCCCTGGCTGATGCTGTGAGCTTCAGTGACGAGGTCCACAGTCGAACTTACGCAACCAGACAAGGAAGTTTTCCAACCACCAAGGTGTATTTCACCTCACTTTTCAGCCTCTTTTCCCTATTTGATTTGTCTTGGCACCAGCTCCCAAGCATTAGGTTAAAATGATCCCCTAGACAGAACTTCCTAGGAATTCTGCAACAAAGCAGCAGTAGTGGGACAAGAACAAAAGCATGTAACAGAGGTACCATGTGCCCCTCTGTCTTCTCAATAGTTCTCCTCAATTCTGCATGACATCCACACCCTCAGATCAGTTTTGCTCCCATTAAGCATACACAACAATTACTGACCGGGGCAGGAGTCAACTATATTTTGCCAAGGACATGTTTAAATTTTCATCTTGACACAAAGACATGTGCTCCTTTCAATACCCATATGACCTTTAACTTCTTGCTTTGAGAAAAAGATAAAAAGTTGTTGTGCTTTTACATCTGCTTCTACAGACAGTGGATTTCTATTTAATCATCCTCTATAATTTAAAACATACCCAAATATTCCTCCTCCTCTTCCTCAACACCTTCATCTTGATCATCTGGCACAACGTTCAACTCAGCATCTGGAGTTTTTCTGGCTTTACTGGACTCTCTTTCAGATAAAACTCCTCTGGAATTGTCTACATCTTCTAAAGACTGAAAAAATGGGAGAAAAAATTATTTTGGAATACAAAAGAGCAGATACAATTCATGTCTGAGGTAATATGATATAGGGGCACATAAGTTTCAATCTACTTAAAGCATAAAAATTATCTCTATTGGCACACGGCACAAAGAAAAGCACAATGGTCAAACTACTTCATCAGAAGCATTCTAATTCCAAGAGCCATTTCCTAGGTACCATTACAACAGCTTTTTGTTCTTCTTTCCAAAAAGAAAAAGTCTCTGAAATGTTTTAATAAGAGATTTTAATGTATTCAACAACGGTTGTTTCTTGAGTTGTTTCTTTTTAAATTCCAACTAGATAAAAGCACAAGTTTCACTGAGAAGTGACTTAGAAGGCTAGTCACAAAAAACCAGGAGCAGAAAGGATGGAATCCCGATGTTCTGGAAATAATGAGTTTAACATGACATGGCACCAAGAGGAGCACTAACTAAACACCTTCTACCCAAGTTAGCTTTTTTGACCAAAATTCCATTTATAGAAGGTTGACACACAGCATTTGTAACCATCCGAAATACACAGTCCTTCTCTAGAAGAAAATACAACTTTTTTTCCCCCCTGATCTTTGAGTCTTGCTTCCTACTTAGCTGTAAAAGCAGCACACCTAACCTGCACACGTGTGCATGCACACAAACACTTGTGACTGCTCTGGTGGAAATATTCAGTCACTCAACCCAAAATACTTCCAGCACTCCCTAGGGTATCAGGAAAAAAAAGACAGGGTAAAGAAAAAGACGACTCCACATGTTAATCTTCTTTTCAGGAAATAAGTTATATCAGTAAAAACACTTTCAGAGTGAAAGGACAAGGGTTTGAATACAATGCTTGCAGCAGATGAGTTTATGAATGATCATCCAGAGAAATGCAGTAAGCAGGGGGATCAAGTCCAAGGTGGCACTGTAAAGATGTAGAAGGATGCAAGCGATGTTGAAGTCTAACCCTAGCAAGTTTAGTTCTTTAGGTATTCACACATTCATCTGTCTTCTGTAAGCAACATGTTTTGCTCCATATTCCCACCCTTTAACTTCACTCCACTGTGACTCAAGAGCATCATCATTAAAAAAATTTAAAAAACCCTGAGATACTCACTTTAAGCATCTCCATTTCCAGCTCTTCATCACTTTCAATGACACAGGAAATATTTTGTTCGTTGCCTGTGGAGCATGCTTCCTAAAAAAAAAAAAAAATCTTTATTCTTATCAGCAAAGTTATTTCTATTTTACTAACAACCTTTCAACCCATAGTACATACTTGAAGCCATTCCTCTGTTTGCTTTCACTTCTTAAAAAAGCAGCAAAGCTCTGATGCCTGCCCATTAAAAAACATCTGAAAGAAACATTAGAACAGAACAAAGCCCTGTAATAAGAGACAAAACCAGTAGTATCACCAGATGTGTGAAACACTTGGAACATAAAGAAATTATGATCTGATTTAAGAGGCATCAATCCACACTCTGGAGTTATTAGAGGGTCTGCTTTTTACAGATCCCCTCCAAAAAGATCTGGGTTCTTTTCATGACCAAGGTGGAGATGCTCTAATCCAGAATTTGCCCCAATACTGAAAAAAAAAAAGATTTTATAACATAAGCAAATGAAAGAGGAAAACTGATGGGACTACTTAGAGCTTCTGTAGTCAGTACTAATCCTTCCAGCCACATGACTGAAGAGCAGCTCAGTGACTGACTACCTTCACAAACATTTCCAGACTCTGAGCCCTTCTTCTAGCCCACATTAATATTCCCTCAGGAATAGAACTTTTATTAAATCCTGGGGAAATCAAGGATGACAGCACTGCCTCTGCTGACTGTCCATGACTAATGAAGGGTTTTCTTATTACCTCAGGCGCATCTCTGTTGACCAATTCTTTTGCAGCCTCACGTTCCAAGATATGAAGTTCTTCCTTAGTAATGTCTAGGGACATGAAGTCATCTCTGTTGTTGTCCTCAGAGCTGGCTGCTGCAGCTCCATCTTGCACAGCATTACCTCTCTCTGCCTCCTCTTCATTACCACCTCTGTCCCAGAGGCCAGCTAGTGTAGCATCAGAACAGATGTTGAAGTCACCTTTGAGTTGTTTAGCAAATTCAGGCATTTCAACATTCTGTGCTTCAACGTTTGCTGACTCAGCTTCAAGATTTGTTGGAGTTGTGCCACAGCTCATCTCCAGTGCACAAGGGGAACCTGAACCAACCAGCATGCTTCTTAAAGCATTTACATTCTCTGATAACTCAGCTAGTATTTCTGCAGCCCTGGAAGGTAAAACAGGAAAGTTAACCCAAAATGATAAAGGCAGTCACTACATTTAGCCACAAGCAGGATTCTAAAGTAGTCTATTTCTCCAGATAGTTTGTCCAAAATTTCATGTAATAGCTTATCACTCATAAGCAACTGGCATTCCACTTCTGCAAGAAGAAAATTAAGCTTCTTTACACTGAAGAAAACCAATGAAAGATTCTCCAAAACCACTGTTTGTGGTATTGGCCTCACAACTGTATCAAGTCTCCAGACTTCTCATAATTAGTCACGCAAGAATCCCAAATATTTACAAAAGGTCTTGCTGAGCATTTCAATGAGAAGAAACAGATTCAAAGTTCAGCATCAAATCCATGGCAATTAGACCCGTGAAAACCCATGCTCCTACATATAAAGACAAAATTTGCCCATCCCGTGTCCTGTGTTTTCTTTTCTTGGAAAAGGATGCACAGGTACCAGAGGCAGCAGTTAACACACACATTTTGTGACATGGGACGTCAGGATCAAGTACAAAACACTGATCTTACAGGTAAAGTATAGACAAGCTGGCAAAAAGCTAACCTCTGGAAATTTTCACGTTGCCCAGAAGAGTCAGGGATGCGAGAAGCCAGGTCCATTATCTCTTCAGCTAGTGAAGTCAAGCGCCTCTTCACACCCTCTGACAACACGTTATCTATTAGAAGCACCATCAGAGTTATTTCACAGGCATTGAGGTCTAACATCCATTTGAAATTAAGTTCCATTCAAGTAACTGCATTCTACAACATCTACAGCTGATAAGACAGCATTTTCCAGTGCTTAAAAATCAAGTATACAGAATCAGGTCAAGCTCGTGTGGACTTAAGCATTGCATCTCCTCCAGTGACCTCTTACATGTGCTCAGGGAAAAATGATACACAACAGGACCATGACGAAGTGATCCTTGCCCAATATACCCTCCAGCTCCCAGAAAAGAGCTGCTAGCAAAGGTACACTGACTAAATCAAGCCAAAAAACTGCACCTTATATTAAGAGGATAGTACTGCCACTTCTGCCCTCGACAGAAAAGTAATATTAAGCCACTACAAGAAATCAACCTCCCCCTTTTTCAACCTTAAGCTACGCGCAATACTAAATTTTCTTCATGAGATAGAGAACTGAAAAAAAACCAGATTTTTAGAATCACTTCTCTAATCGAGAAAATAATACTAAGCCACTCTAAAAAATTCAAGTCCTATTTATACACCTCAAGAAAACCATTACTTCATAACATTTTTTTTTGTGGTCTTAAAACTAGATTTTTGTCCCTGCATCAGAATTGAAATTAACTCACTGAAGTGTTTCCATGAACAAACTGGAATGACAGCAGAAAAAAACCATAAACAGCAGAAACAAACAACATACCTATGACTGCACGCCTACATCACTATGGAAAAGAGTTACACAGCACGGTAAACAAGGTCAGCTAAAAGCCCTTAGCATCTTCTCTCCTCTGGAAGCAACCTCTAATGACCAGCAAGCCAGACAACCCTGACACAAAGATTCTATTAAAAAAAAATAAATCTGTTGGGAAATGGAATATTCAATTGCACATTGAGTAATTTCATTATGCTTGAATGTATAATTTACCTCTTCTTACACAAGATTTCCGGTCACTGTTATTCATGTTTTTCAGTTTTTGATAAATGATGAAGCCAGCCTGCAAAAGAAAGGCAAAAAAATAGTATTCAGTACTCTCCAGAGAAACAACAGCATAGAGACCAAAAAAACAACCCCAAGATTTAATGGAGACCATGACATGAATACATTGTGAACACCAAATACTGAGTTGTTGGCGCAGGCTGTACAAGGGTTAATGGTCTGCCTCCCAGCATTGTTCATTACAACCAGGTTAGTATTTGACAGAATGCTTCATAAAAGGCAAACTCATGACTTGGGGCCCACACTGTAGCGGCTACCTAGATGCCAGCGTGGTTACCATGTATGACCTTATAAAGTTAGCTGCACATAGGAAGCTCCAAGCACTCTGCTCCCAGCCCCACCATCTGCTCCACCTCATTCAGATTTTATGTAGCGCTCCAAGATAATAGCTATGAATCTACTAAGATAGATTCTGTGTGCTTTATATTTCCCTTGGTATGAATAATAAGTTCTAACAGGAAAACACAGCCTAAAGCTAGGGATGTGCTAATTAGGCTACACATGTTAAGCAAAGCATCTCAAAGAGGAAAGAGAAAGAAACAAGTTACTCCCTCATATATTCCTGTGAGGCTCCAAAAGCCAGGCCAGGTGAGCAGAGAATAGCGAGAAAGAGGCATTGCCTGGAAAAAGCTGGCTACAGTAGCTGCAGCAGGCACCAAAAATTGAACTCCTTTCCTTACTGATTTGGGTCTTTACAGGTGCTAAACCCTCCACAGTTTAATATTTAATTAAACTAGAAAATACATAATGTTTCCTGAGTCACAGAAGAAAACCAAGACTACTACCCCACTTCCCTTCTTCTGTCTAACCTCACCCCAGGAAAAAGCCTGAGGAAATTTTCTTTTGCTGCCCATAAAAATGCTGCCTTCTCCCAGGAAGCAGGCAGCATCTGCTAGCATATTTGTAAATCCCTTCAAAACTGCAAGAAAACTATGCTCTTTTCAAAGTGGTGAAAAAGCAGAGACTTATATAGAGCTACTGAAACTCATATGCAACTAAATTACTCTTCCTTGTAATCTATACAGCGGGTCTGTTGTACTAGCTGTTGGAGAAGGTTGTCTTGTCTCAAAGATGCTTACTGATTTTCTCTCACATATTTAGCAGGATTTTAGTTCATAAAAAGCTTTAGAAAGATGACCAAAAACCCCAGCAGAACACACATCCAGAAGTGCTAACAAGCTACAATGAATACCTGCAGACAAGGAAACCAAAAATAATTACCCACTCTTCACTTTTGTCAGCAATTATTGTACTTAAACAATCACAGCCATCTCACACTTACGTGGAATAATCACCCTGCAAGAATTTAGGCTTAGTACATACAGAGAGAAAAAACACATGAGCGCTCCATCAAAACTCACTTCCCCAAGGTGATAAATTCAAGTGAGTCCAAATGAACAGGCACTCCTCAGGCATACCTCTTGATGCCCACATTACTCACCAGGTTCAGAGCACAGCAGAGCTGTACTTCCTGAAAAGACTTCAGTAAAAAAAGCCAAACTTGAAACACCATGAAACATTTAAAAGGTAAGAACCTCATGGGAGGCTTAAGGCTGCTGTGGAATGGGGTTTCTTTCTTCCATTAACATTTGATTTTCTACATGATATGTTCACCACAATATCTTCTTCAAGGGATCTCAGAAAGCAGACAGGTTAGAGTCAGGTGCAAGCAGTACCATCTTCTGCAGAAGATATTATGAACTCCAAATGGTTTAAAAACTTAAGCCAGACAAGGAATCAGACAGCAACCTACTTAGTGGTATTTCCACCTATAAGCATCCCATATCCACAGTAGACCCCAGGTTCTTCCTCTATTATGTTGTGAAGCAGAAAGGCATTAAAACCAGCAGCTAACAGCACATTGGAGTTGAATTACTGGTACAGGTGGAATGATGATTTCTTGTACATACATAGGCATCTGTAGCTGCGTACAATTTTTGTGCCTCGTTGAGTGGAAACTCTTCCCAGTTACTACAACGGATGGACTTATCCTTCAAAAGCTGCTTGCCAAAAAGGTGTTTCACCAGACCATTTAGACTCCATATCTCCTTACACTTCAGCTGGAGAAAGAATAAGAACAGAGGACTTGTTTAAAGGGGAATGCAATTGGACCTGGCAGAATGCACTACTAGAATCAGCAAAGCATATTTAATCCCTCATCAGAAGCAAAAGAGCTGTGGGTTAGTTGGAACAAGCTAGTTTCTCAAAGCAGTGACTGCTCTGCCGGCCTCATTCTGCTCACGCATTAAAGGGCGACTTGGCCATTCAACAGCTGTACTTCCCTGCTCTGAAGATGTGTTGTTAGAGGACATGCCTACATGGCCAAGCTGGACAGATGGCACAAGGGCCAGATGAGCCTACAAAATGCGAGGTGGTATTGTCACGACACCAAAAATAGGAAATAACTGTAAAATGTAGTCTTTTGGTTGATAAAATAAAAGCTGTAGACTTAAACAGCAACCCCATTCTCCTCCAGGACTGGGATTTGTCTATTATTTACCTTTCTAACTAGAAAAACTCAACATCAAACACCAGGAATTTATTGACTACAAACAGAGGAACAGCGAAGTCTCCCTGTAAAGTCTGTCTTTGTCATCTTTAGCAAGCCTGAAACCAAGTGAAAGGGCACAGTTCCAGACCACACTAACCACTACTCAGCATGCTGGGAAGACTAGACCCCAAGTCTCTCCAACCCACCACACTGCTGCTTTCAATTTATTTTGTAACTGTGCTTGTCAATTACAGTTTCTACATCCTATTGTCCTGGGAAATTTTCCTTCGGAGCCCAGAACTCATGGGCACAGTCTTTGGCTGTTTCAACTTCTGAGCACTCAGGAAATGTGCAGAACTGTTGAGCCTAACAGTAGCAGTGCAGCATTATCAGCTCATCCCCTCAAATCTCATATAAAAAAAAACTTCCCATTGCTCATTTTAGGATCCCCCAGCCCTCACCCTTGCATTGTGCCGTTATATATAACCCTATTCTTTGTTCTCAAGCTTTACTTTCAAGTTTATTTTTGGTTTGCTTTCTCTTTAGCAAAAGACTTTAAAACTGCTATTAGAGATTACATGGCTCATCTTCATAACAAATTATCTTGGAGTTGGATGCTGGGATTAAAAATATAAAAAATGGGGTGAGCTGAAGGAAACTCCAAGTCTGAAAAGAAATAGCTCCTTCTGTTGCTGAGCAAAACAGTTTAGTTTGTACAACTTCCAGCCTACTAGGAACTGAAAATTCAGGGTAGCTGATGCAGAGAGCACAGCCCCAAATGCTGAGGACACATCACATTCCCCTTTCCCCCACTGTGGTTTGATTACACTGGGTACATAAAGCACAAGACAAAGAAAGGTGTTAGTGTTGTTTCTAGGCATAAATCTGTCCTCCTCCAGGAAACCACAATTGTTGCTATTATCCTACCAAACAAACGAAAAAAAAAAAAAAAAAACACATAGAAGGAAAGAGAAGTGCACAGAGAGATGAAGTACAGGTAAGGAAAAGCATTGTATATGCAAACAGAAAAGCTTTTAGGGACACTTTAAAAATAAGAATGGCAGAACAATTTGGAAGGTAAGGAAATTCTGACTCTCCTCCCTAGTAAGATGACACAGTTCTACCTACCTCAAATGATATCTAACCAAAACCCCACTGTACTGAAAATCAGGGTGCACAAAATGCAACACTACTTCTAAAGAGTGGCTAAGCAACATGCTTGAAACTGCACCCACGTGAGAGCAGAGTCATGGAAACAAAGGTATTTCTACAGCTTCATATCCTGTGGCAAACACCTCTGCAGGGAGAACTTCAATGAAGACCGTTGGATGCTTCCACCCAGCAAGCCACGGCAGGAGGACTGACCACCTTAAAGGCCATCAGTCTTTCACTGCCTCCACAGTATTTTCCGTATCTTATTCTAAAGGTCCAGGCATTGCTTGACCAAGCACAACATTGCCAGAAGAACCCCAGCTTGACACAATCTGGCAGTTCTCATTACTAAAAAGTAAACAAAATGCAGGTGAAACAATAAGCCATACCTTCTAAATGCAAAAGGTGAACAGACCTGAAAGGGGACAAACGTTCACAAAGAACTGGCTCACTGGAAGACAGCACTTAGTTTGGCAGACTTCCTTGAGAGTAGTTCTTACTATTTTTCTTTAAGTTACAATACGTCTCTGCTTTATTCTACATAATACATTTGCTCTAAGAGTTGAGCTCCTGCAAATACAAGGGAGCCTCTTTTCGTACAGCACAATAACAAGATTCCCTCCCACAACAAAAAGGTTTTAAGTTTTACTTTCTCATTAGCAACGTCAGCCAGCTCCACAAAGCTCTTCAGTTTGATTTCAAAGTCACTCATCAGCTTCCATTGATCTCCCTCAATTCCTACGCCAACCTTTTTAATTGTTTCATCTTCGAGCAGCCTTTTGAGTCCCTTGGGAAAACCTAAAACAGATTAAGCCCAAACATGAGAAACCAAGTACTGGAAGATGCCAGAGAGTCTAATGGAAATGACAAAATCCTAGCACAAAGGCCATCTGCAAAAACCTGTGCTTTTAGAGGAAAAGCCCCCTAAGTTGCTCTTTTTATGCAACTGTACTCTGGAATGACTGGAAACACCAACTGGTTGCAATGTATCATCTGCAGACAAGCAGGAATTAAATACCTAAAATACGCAAATTTATTCTGCATCTGAAAACAAATCAGGTAAAAAAATTAAACCACCTTATTTCATCTTACTGATCGCTAAATCACATAAAAACTGGAAAGCATTTTAATTCTTAGAAGCAGATGCTCATGAAAGCAAATCCCATATTATTTCACTCTTTTCCCCATCATTCCTATCCATTTTTTGCAGTTTCACACTCCTGGGAAACTGTTTAGGCCATTAGAATGGGGAAATCACCAGGAAAACTGATTCTGTGCACACATTCCATGCTAATGCCAGGCTGAGCCAACAACAGCATTTGGAAGAAAGAATTTGCCAAGTGGATCCTCTGCCAAGCCCAGACAAGTCAGTCTTGTAAGAAAAAGTATTCAAGGATGTACATGGATTACCAAAGTATTATGTTTTGATTTATCCCAAATTAATGGCACAAGCAATTGTGGATGAAAGAGAAAAAAAAATAAAAACATGTACCTTTCATATCTGGTTTTCTAAAGGAGGAAACAACCACAAACACTTCACACTCTAAGAAAAGCAGCCTTGTTCTCCCCTCTGTGTTTGTTCCCATTTAAAATTCAGAGCATCTTATTGCATAATGGACTTTATTTTTACACAACTGTTGCCACACTTTCATTGCTACCACTGACACGATATGGACATGTTTGCAACTATCAACAGCTGACTTACTCAACAAGGGATTTTTCATCCAATAATATCTTCATGAAAACCTTCATGAATGGGAACATCCCAGTAGAGGACTTGTGCTCCATTGCTACCACCTCATTCCTAGGTAAGTGACCATATGAACTAAAAAGATCTAAGCTCAAGACTATACAGAGGCTACAATCTGGGAAACTGGTCATTTTCTTAGAAGTTTGTAAGGAAAAAGAAAAACCAGAAAATTATCAAGAATCTTCCTGATAAACATGTAAACCTTATTATTTATACACAATCCAAAGAACTCTCCACACTCTTCCTCCTGCAGAAGGAAGCATTACTTTTATTGCAACAAAAATGGTATGTCTCATCCAACTGGCTAATTCTGCCAACATCTACATTTCTGTAGATCAAATGTACTCTGCATAATCAGCAGAAATTGGCTGTGGTTCCTGCAAGAAGTTTGACATCTCACTGAGCTCAAAGTGCCTCTCCCATTGGGAAAACACAGAAATTTTTGGAAATCACTCAGGAGGAAACATCATCTTTGGCTGTAACATGCAGTAGGCCACGTGTAACCGTACTCAGCATCAACACAAAAACACCTTCACTTCTAGCATCTAAAACATTTGAGCTCTTAATGACTTCTTCCTTTAGCTTCCTTTCCTCAAAATCTTTTTTCTTTTGTGCACTTGTACCTTTCTGCCTCACAGATTGAATAGCCTCCAGCAATTAAATTTTCCACCCCATTTGCTATAAATGACAGAGGATTGAACACCAACATTAAAATTATCACTCTCGTACCTCAGCTTGCACACCCCAGGGAAATCAGAGGCATCTCACAGGCATAGTTTCAATCTAGCATTCAAACCAAATGTTATAAAATTGCAGCCTCCTTCCCTCACTCTTATTTTCCCTATTTAGAAGCTTTTATTCACATCCGTAATGAATTCAGACTGTTGAGCACACCCCCTTCTCTCCCCACAGCTGCATCACACCAGGTATCCTGCGCTCTTTCTGAAAACCAATGTCACAAAATGCAGGTATCAGGCACAAACAGCAAGACAGCCATAATTTGAGGGGTTTTGTTATTGAAGCCAAATTAAAAAGAAACATAGCCTGCTAAATTCAGGTTCATTGTTTATTTTGGCACTAAACAGAAAACTCATTACATGAGCAGGGAATTGTATTTTTAAAACCCAATTAAAATAGTCTTTCCTAGAGAGAAAAATAATCATCAAGTAAGATTCTCTGGCCCTGTTCAAAACCTAAAAAGCTGTATGCCAGCACAGAGGGCAAGGCTTGAGCCAAGATCCCCTTGATTCATGTAGGCAATACTCAATAAATCCCTTTATTATAGATGGGAAAGGGGAGAAGGATGGAGTTTTACTATCCAACATACTGTGAACTATCAGCTACTGCTTAAGGCTTAAATTCAAACTTAACCACATGAAACCGAGGGCAGCTCATGCCCTAATTAATAATAAAAACAGAAGTACAGTACCTGACATTGAAGATATGTGAAACAAGTAACACTTGTCCTCAGTTACACAGATCTGGATTAGAGCTATTTTTGCCATTTTTCCTTTAATATATGATGGTGGCCATTCGATATCAAATCCAACAGCAGCCCCATCTGATAAACTCTGCCTGAAAAGACATGGATGTTCATCACATTTATCTCTTCTTCTACCAGTATTTAAAAATATCATCCTTCAGTTATTTTACATAAAGATGATGAAGAGAATCAAAGCCAGGACACTTTTGCTTTCATATGTACAGGAAACAGAAAACATTTTAAAAATCAAGGCTGTAAGGAGGTGAAAATTCTGCTGAAGAACCTGCATGGAGCCTTTACTGCTGCTACTTAAGGGGACTGCAAAGTTCAGCGACGGTGTCTCACATAAAAAGACCACCAAATGGGCAACTATTAACTGCCTAACACAACAGAGAGGTCTTTTTAAACCACCACACAATCTAGACAAACCAAGGACCTCTCCATCATGAGAAATAGGCTCAGTTTGTACTCACAAACAGTACGACATATTTGCCACACAAGAAGACAGCCAACACTATTAGATGTTTTCTCTGGTTGAACTGTTGGCCTCTGGGTGCACAAACGCACAATTTGCCAGGAGGAGACTGAGGGAAGAACCAAATCCTTTCTGGAAAGGGAAAAGTTAAAAAAAAAAAAAAAAAGAAAATCAGAGTAAGAGCTGTTACCTGATATCTTCTGAGATAAGGGAACAGTCACTGGCTTCATAGCTGTAAACAACAGAGCCAGAGAACTCCAGGAAGGGCAACCCATCTTCCAAAACACTCCTCTGAACAGAAGGCTTCTGTCAAATAACATTGGGAAGAGGCTGGGTTACTGGCCACAGCCAACCTCACCACAGCCACTGTCAGCACCACAACTGCTGCATGCGAGCCTGGCACTGGTGCTCACCAAAACCTCACAGCAGAAACATGCTCCACACGCAGGGTCAAGACTAGCACAACCCCCCCTTTTATAAAAATCATTCTGATTCATGCCCTGATTTCTTTGCTTCTTTGAAATGAAATTGCACAAGTAGAGCTTCTACCTCCGTTTAGTTTACTTGGATTCTTCCCAATAAAGAGGTTTCCAAGGACAAGGTTAAGGCAAATATCAATTTTTGACAGTGTCAACACCACTCAACACTACTTCTAATGCTGCAGCACTTCCATACCTCAGAAACTGGGGGAAGAATATAAGAAAATGGACAGTAATTTAATTATAGTCATTGTTGAAGTAATTCAGTTCTGGTTAGGCTCAGATCTTCTACTTGGTTACAGCAGTAGCTCAGTTACCCACTTTCTCAGTCCCACTTTTCAGTCAGCTCATCTCACTTAACCCTGCCAGATATGTTGTGTGAGGAACTTCAGATGGTTGGATTCAAAAATCTTAAAGGTCTTTTCCAAACTAACTGATTTTATGCTAGGTCTAAGTAAACTCCATGGATTTAAAACCATGCATATTATTTAAGAGGAGCCAAATCCTCCATCCTGGTTTCCAAATGGAAGCCTTAAGCACACAGGATGAGGTAAAACGTAACACTCCCATCAGTATTTTTATCCCCTGCCTTTCAGAAGCTTATTTATTAAAGGTTACCGACCAATAAACTTACTTGAACTGCAAAACTGATAACGCTGACCTGCCAAACCTTCAGGTTGGTTAAAAACTTAAGCTAGCTATAACACCAGTAATTTCAAATATGGTTAAGTATCACACAATAACACTTGAGAGACACCATCTTGTCAATCCAAAGAGGCCACCTCACACAAAACATGTCTCCATATGGTTTCAAGCAACAATAAGTTGCCTGGAAAAAGAAGATTCTGAAACAGAGATTCTGCTGATTTTATGCTTGCACAACAAAACATTTCCTCCGGTTAATGAAGGGTGAAAGTTTAATCAAAACCCTTCCTCAAGTTTGGTACCACAGCACACAGGCTGCACGACAGCAAATGAAAGTTGTGTTGGTTTTCATTGACATTTTTTAATATCCACACCACTGATTTTTTACTCCCTCTTCAGAGAAGGAAAACTGCTGAACTGAGTCTTCTTTTCTCTCATTAATTAGTTTTCTAATTGCTAACACAGTTTGAAAATGTTATGGGGAGGTGTCCCTTCTAGTGGGAAATTTTATACTATAACTGTGCATACGTGCAGAAAAAAATATCTAAGGACAAAACATTCTTGGAACACCAGAAATATCAACAATCTTGACAACCAGTTAATTATTCTGATATTTCAGAGCCGTGAAACATTCTGAAATACTGAACATGAGCAAAAGGAGGAAGCCAGGTGGTCATACCAGAACAAATTCCTCTGCCAGGCTAGAACTCGAGACCACTGTGTTTTGAGCTCTCAGATTACAGAGATGAAAAATCCCAGAGTCCTTGCTGGACTGAAACCCACAGGACTGGGTGAGCAATGCACTAAAAGCTCCCTTATACTTGTTTGGTTTTGCCACCGAAAGTCAAAATTGTCAGGAAGAAATTTCTCCAGAGATAACAACAACAGCCTTTGGTTGATACATGATATTTAAATTTTAAAAAAAATACTTTAACAAGCTAATTCAAATGGTAAAAACACAATAGTACCTAAATTTAATTACAGTTCACAGGACAAAACAGCTGTAATTACTCACAAGTACCAGAGCCACACATCTAACTAAAAGCATGTGGTCCAACGCTGGTTTATTAGGCTGCCTGCAACCAAATGAGTTCCCCCAATGTGGTAACATACCTTTTTATCACCCAGATCTCCCTCTTGGTTTTGTGTAAGCATCCACTGTGGGTATTTATTCGGCAGACCAGCAGTCAGCAAATCCATCTTATTCATTTTTTCCACATTTCTGTTACTTTACTTTTACATTAAAAAAAATAAAGAACAAAGAATAGAACAGTCAATATTTCATATATACACCAGTTGTTGCCATCATCATGTCAGAACAAGGTTAGAGAAGATCAGTACCTTGAATTCAAAATGCTTTGTAAATGTCTTTTCCTATGCACAGAGGTGCCTGCATTAAACAGCAGAAGAGCTTTAGGCATTATGTTCTGGTTTATATATATGAGTAAGAAAAAAAAGAAACAAAAAACACACAGGAAAACCTCTTAAGAGTCCCCTGGGAAAGCAAGCTTAGCCCAGTTTTATGAAGAACTGAACAGTATGCCATCTCTGGTCAACACAGCCTTCGTTCGTCAGACAAATTTATCTGATGTGTTAATTAACAGCAGAAGAACCAGCCACTCAGCTTAAAAGCACTCAAAAAAAAAAAAATTTCTGACAAATGACATGGAAAAAATACAAATTCAAAACAAGAACTCCCAGACTCACACAAACGTTGCCCCAGGGCTTATATTCCCCACACAGGATCTCAGGGCTTTGATCCTACAGCCAAAATGAGAAAAACTACAAACAATTCCCACAGCAAACTACAGCCAAGTAAGGCACATGCTGCTAAGCTCTCTAGTGCAGCCTGGATGATATTTACTTATAAATTTCAAGCCACATGACCTCACCAAACAGAGGCAGCCTGTTCCCAGGGAAGCAGGGCACATTCCCTGCAACTCCCAATCCAGAGAATGCACTCCACAGAGGAACCCAGAAAAGATTTAAGTTAGGAAAACATGCTGCCTGAAACAGCAGATTTTCAGCCCTGACTACTATGGGTTTCTCATGAGGGAGCAGAGGAGGATTTCCCAGTTCTGAGTAAAGGATGACCAGATCAGAGCTCTTCCAGCTTCTCCCTGGTCTGTTTCTAGTGTGATTTAGAAATCCTCCTGGAGATGGAGTAAAATACATCACAAAGAAGAAATTTCTCACCCTGCTTCGTCCCACTAGTCCTCAGGTGCTCAATACATGTCACACAATTAGGCCACTACTATTTGAGTATAAATATACTTTCCAGCTGCACTTCCTCATTAAGGAAGTGTAAGTTCTGGGTAAATGGTCCTGGTTCAGTTTTTCAACACTCAAAAAGGTCTTTCGGGTTTTTAACTGATTATCTAGGCTAGGCAGAATTTTCCCTTGCTTACCTGTCCACTTCTGCAGTAGCACAGCCAACTACAACCTCAAAGACGACTTTAAAGAGTATTTTAAAACTAAACCACTCACGGAACAGCCGGACCAGCCACTTGCTGGCAATGACAAAGCAGCAGAGAGACTAGAAACAACCAGAGGAAGGACACCCTGCAGCACCCACACTGCCAGCTGCCACCCCACAGATCTAAGAACACGTTTTTCCCCAAAACAGCTAAAATTTCTAGAGCACTGTTGATAACTACCGCTGCAGCATTACCCACTTTTCCGGCGTTAAAGGCAAAACCTGAACTTGAGGGCACTCAGCATTGCACGGGCAGCGATAACTAACACGGAGCCTCTCGGGGGCCTTATTTCTTCAGGGGAAAACGCAGCCTGGCCGCCCCTCACCTCCTGGCAGGCTCCCCAAGCCCACCCGCGGAGCGGGACCCCTTTCCTTCCCCCGCCTCCCGGCACCCCAG